CAAAATCTCCACTTGACGTAACGAAACCCATTCCACAAATGTACTTTTCTGATAAATCTGACGAAGAATTCGACCAACCTAAAATGGCTGATGTCAAGCCAGGTGTACCCTTGGTTCCATTGGCTGGCAAACCAGAAGACAAAGATGGAAAGGATGTAGAACCGACTTTGAGACCAGACGACAAACCCAAATCTCCACTAGACGTAACGAAGCCTATTCCACAATCGTACTCTTCTGATGAATCTGATGAAGATTTCGACAAACCTAAAATGGCTGATGTCAAATCAGGTGTACCCTTGGTTCCATTGGCTGCCAAACATGAAGACAAATTTGTTAAGCCTATAGAACCGATTTCAAAACCAGACGACAAACCAAAATCTCCACTTGACGTAACGAAGCCTATTCAACAAACGTACTATTCTGATGAATCTGATGAAGAGTTCGACAAACCTAAAATGGCTGATGTCAAACCAGGTGTACCCTTGGTTCCATTTGCTGCCAAACCAGAAGACAAAGGTGTTAAGCCTATAGAACCAATTTCAAAACCAGACGACAAACCCAAATCTCCATTAGACGTAACGAAGCCTATTCCACAATCGTACTCTTCTGATGAATCTGATGAAGATTTCGACAAACCTAAAATGGCTGATGTCAAATCACGTGTACCCTTCGTTGCATTGCCTGCCAAACCAGAAGACAAAGGTGTTAAGCCTATAGAGCCAATTTCAAAACCAGAGGACAAACCCAAATCTCCACTTGACGCAACGAAGGCTATTAAACAAACGTACTGTTCTGATGAAGATTTCGACAAACCTAAAATGGCTGATGTCAAATCAGGTGTACCCTTGGTTCCATTGGCTGCCAAACATGAAGACAAATTTGTTAAGCCTATAGAACCGATTTCAAAACCAGACGACAAACCAAAATCTCCTCTTGACGTAACGAAGCCTATTCAACAAACGTACTCTTCTGATGAATCTGATGAAGAGTTCGACAAACCTAAAATGGCTGATGTCAAACCAGGTGTACCCTTGGTTCCATTTGCTGCCAAACCAGAAGACAAAGGTCTTAAGCCTATAGAGCCAATTTCAAAATCAGAGGACAAACCCAAATCTCCACTTGACGCAACGAAGGCTATTCCA